TGGGTCGAAACTTGATCTGGTACGGATGAATGGCCGAAAGCCTTCCGTTAAACAAGTCCACTTAAACAAATGCGATCAGCATCCAATGTCGAACACTAAATGAGCTATTGATTTCGGGGAATTATTTACAGCTACAGGCCAATCAGATTTCAAATAGTGGGCGGACAGCACTAGAGGACAAATAAGACTAAATTTCAATCAAGGCTGTCACGACTGGACTGTTCACGTTTAATTTGAATATGAAATGCGATTAAGTAGATGTGACCGATCACCAGACCTGACAAAGTGAATAAAAGATCACCTAGAAAGCAGGTTTGTGGAGGAACATGAATAAGTTCATATCACTGATTAGATGAGGGTTTCTCGGGAACCATGTTGATTACAATTATCGTAGTTTTAAGTCATGAACTGATGTCAGACCACCATTGGAAACCTGGAAGCACTAGATTGCCATTTAGACTAATTATGTGACGCTTCAGCAGCGAACAAAGCCGTTCTCAATAGTCTTTTCAATCAGAATTCATATATTATCACGCTACCCTCACTAAATGAGGCAGTGTGAAAAATTAGAAAGTTATACCAAATAATTATTTAGTTTTCACTTCTACCATAATTATCTGATTGTTTCCTTATTTCTTATTCTATTTTGCCACCAGATTGTCACACTTCCACACAAATACTTTCGACATTCATCTATCATTATAATTTGAAAAATATTGTGATCGTTCAAGCGACAGTGTGACGATATAATGAAGGCCAAACTTGGGAGCAAAATAGTTATGTGAATAAAAAACAAAGGATTATTGGAGTGGAAAAATCGAAGCAGGACTTCTAGAAGTTGCAAAATGTCCACAACAGTTCTTCAATGTTAGAATAAGAACGGAAGTAATAGTTATCACCATCTCGGGCATTCGGGTTCTGGATTTCTTCTAATATTTTTGGTGGCAGAATTATGCAGGCTTCAATGGTTGTGACAAGTGTCTTGTCTTTTCATGACTTTTGAATTCATTTGCTCTGTCCTCTAATATATCTAGAACAGGTCAGGAGAGATAGAAAGAATACTTTAAAAACTAAATCGTTTCTCAGTGTCCTACACACATAAATTAAATCACCTCTTCATCTTCAGTAAGATGCAATTGAGAGACAAAATTTTTTAACTCTCACTTCCCAGGTCAGGCTGAGAGGCCATGAAAACTGCCTTCTGCACGCTTTTTAGGAGATCAAATAGGAATAAAATCATATAGGAACTTGAAACCACTACGAAGTTTTGTAGCTAGACACCACTAAGGCTGTGTAATATTCATCGAACATATCCATATCAACCAGAGGAAAAGATCATACTGTCTGACAGACATCTTGAACGTCACAGTGAGAGAGACAGCGATATGTATTATATGTTGTGTTAATAGTCTAAGGATGCAGCCCATCCTTTTTTGTTTTATTCTCTATTTAGATAACATAGTGACTTTAATCCGTCATCCTGGTTGAAGTCAACAATAAGCGGGCAATTAGGTGACATGAATTATGGAGCCAGTCTTGTGTTTAGAAGAAGCTCATAAGCGAAGGTCAACCCGTAGCAACCTTTCACAGCTTTCGTTTAGCCTTGGTTTCTCTCTATCATATAAGACTCAGTCGCTTCCGCTGCTTGATTTTCTTTGTGGGAAACAGATCGTGATGATTCATTTATTTTGAATTGACTTGCAGAGATTAATTGCCTTTGCTATTCCAAGACTGTTAGTGACGTTCTAGTGACTTTTGTCGAAGCAAGAAATTAATATCACAGTTTCCCCTTCTTTGGAACAGTCTAGATTAGGAAAATATGAGCCACGTAGGGCTAAAGCTTTCGGAACCGACTTCTAATCACTCCAACTGATGCTTCCGAGTCAACTGTTTAGTCTCCGGGAGAGGCCTTAAGGTTGGTTACATTCACGTTAACTTGAAATACACTGGGATGGGGTAGAATGTCTGCGTGGTAGGCTTTACGGTGCTGGACAGTGTGGTCACTCCTCGAGCTGGAGGTGCCTAACTCGACCAAGATCATCGCCCTCCGTGAGGGCCGAAGTCTAACGCAGACAAGTCCCGTACTTCACATCAAGTGAGATCTATGATCTACTAAAAGAGAACTTACGATACTAAGTATTCCAATGGTTTGTAATCAGAAGAGTTTACTGACGATCGCACCTCCAATTTTTCACAGGTAGTAGAGAGTACGCTGACATCTAAAGATGCCACAAGTGTTCGGAATTTGACAGCGCCTTAACCAGTAACACTTTTGTAATCGAAGTATGCTCAGTCAAACCAGGAGTTAAAAGCAAAGTTGTTCGAAGAGACATTTGGTAATGCAGTCAGCATCAAATGTCGAAGATACACAGAACTATTGACATAAAAGGATTTGTTTAACACTGCAGGTCACCTACTATGAGGTATTTACGCCCGTCTGACAAGGATCACCTGTTGAATAGTAAAGATGAGAATTGTGTATTGAACCGTAGTAGTATCGAGGACTTAGGGTTTATATTGAAAACTTGCCTATGTAATTATTAAACGATATATAAATAGTAACTTCAGAGAGCAGAATGCTAAATTTTTTAAAGTACTCGTTTTGTTTTATCAAGCTACTCTGTATTTTTGGGGGGAAGCGAAAGCGTTAAAGTGCGGAATAGATCTATTATCTTGTTCTTATGAGCGGTCTTGGTATGTGTTTGCCTATCTTTGTTATCTCATGCTAATTACTTTATCTAATTGGTGTGATTCTTAATTTCCGTGTACATTTTCAGACAAGATAACTGAATGTGTCACTTATGTTATTCAATGCACCCATTCCGCGAACTCCAATCTATAACACAAAACGGCTATTCAAACCACATACTTCACACTTCACTTCCCGAGTCACCTGTTAATCCTCATTTCGGAAAGTATAACTACCGAGCCAATATGACAGTAACAACTGATAGTTATACCCCTGGAGCCACGTACCACAACCATGGACATACTACACATAATCACATCCACCATGGATTACTACATCCTGTTCATTCGAATCCTAGCAATGTCACCGCCCTCACTGTTTCACAGGATAGCAGTCAGGTCCGCGTTTGGGATATTTGGACCCACAATTTTCATGAGGGGATGCGCCTTGTCCGTAGACTTGTGCGAGAATGTCAGTATGTTGCGGTTGATACAGAATTCCCGGGTGTTGTTGCAAAGGTTTTCGGTGAATATGCCAACAGCTTTGAACAAGCCTACCACAATATTAAAGTTAACATTGACATGCTCAAACCAATACAGATTGGGTTCAGTTTTTTCGACGAGAGTGGTCAAACGGTGGATGCTGTCTCAACCGTGCAGTTTAACATCAAATGGAATGTTGACAATGAAATGCATGCGGCCGATTCCATTCAGTTATTAGAAGTCTCTGGAATAGATTTTGATAAATTGAAAAGAACAGGAGTTGAACTTAGTGATTTTGCAGAGGCGTTTCTTACCAGTGGTCTTCCGCTGAATGACAAAATAACGTGGATAGGGTTCCACAGGTAGGTTTCAGGGAGCTAAATTAAAGTCGTATTTAGTGCCTATGATTTTGCCTATCTAATGAAGATATGTACTGACTGGATGAGAATGCCGGACAACTTCTTGGAGTTCCAAAAGCTGTTGTTGATTTTCTTTCCAAAAATAGTAGATTTAAAGTCAATGATGAGTGAACACAAGTTCCCCAAGAGCGGATTACAGGAGTTAGCCGACTTAATGAGAGTACCACGTATCGGCTTGCAACACCAAGCTGGAAGTGACGCAATGCTTACAGGTGAAACGTTTTTCAGATTTCTGGAGGTATGTTGCTTTTACTTTGTACTAACTGAGTTTAGGAGCATAGTGGTGGGAAAATTGACCAACGGGTTTTAAACCTTGTCTATGGATTAAATTATTGTCCGAACGGTGTATCTAATACGTGGATGCAAATGAACGGTTCAAGTCCTCAACATGATTCCGAGTCTTCTGCAGGTCATAATGTTTCATATGCGTCATCAATCTTTCGTAACAATGTTCACAGTGCCGATCATTCTGGTCGCACATCGCCTGCTGATTCGACGGGAGGTCACAAAAGTAGCTAAAAATTTATCATAAGCAGAATATCGTCATGCCCTACCTATGTATCCCTTAAATTAAGTATATGATGATGTTCTGATTCCAACTCAAGACTTTCTGGTTAGCATTTGTTCTTTGCATTTTGTAATTTAGATCTCTTTGTTGATATTTTGACTTTCAGCCTCAACTCTTTCAATGTAAATCATGGCTCATTGGCGGCAGCTCACCTAAACAGGCCGCTTATCCTTCTAATATTGTTTTGTCATCCCTTAATTTTACAAGTTCCCGTCACATGACGCTTTATCTTCGCTTTGTTTGCCTTTACTCCCGGTACGCTCTACCTAGTTAAAGCTGTCAAAGCATTTCCTAGTGGCGTACTCATGGGCAGCTACGTCTGGCTCTGACTAAAAGAAAAATCTTTTTGAACTTCTCTAGCCTGTTAACCTGTCACACGGTCTGGTTATTGTTCTGTTTTCATTGTTCGTAGTCCTGTTTGTTTTTTATGTTCATTAGCGCTTTGGGTATCTGTGATAAACTTTTCAATGCTAAAAATACGCTTTTATTGACCTGTTTGATGACCAAGTGCTTGCGTGGCAGCAACTGTTCTTTAGTTTTGTGGAATACTTGTACAGAAATCCTTTGGGATGTACAGAGAAAATGTAAAAATGTATTGGTACTTTGAAACTACTCATAAATGTACATTGCTAACCAAAGTGTCCAGTCAATAATTTAACAGTACTCTAAATGAATAACTTCCTCTCTTCTGTATCATTTTCAAAACAAGTGACGAAACTTGAAGTCTTTTTGTTTTAGTTTGTCATATTTTTGTGTAATGCTTGGATAACTCTTATAATATCCGGTGTTGTGCACTTCCTAAAAGTTGCTCACCCAACTGTAATTCATTCGGAAATAAATCTGAAGCTCGTAAACATCTGTTGTGTAATATTACCTTCTAACTATATTTTTCAGTATAAATAAGCGTGCTTTGTTCAAAAGTTTTGTTTCATATATGTATATAAATGTTTATCTCTAAAAAATTTTTTTTTGTAAAAAAAGCGAGTTGGGGGATAAAGAATTAGATTATTTATGACCCAGTCATGGGACAGTGTCTAACTCAATTATTCTTCGTCTTGATATCTGAGTGTTTCCATAGGCTTTAGTTCCAAGGTCTGTTGAAGAGATAAGGTCAGATGCATATCGTGGTAACTTCCAGGGATTCTGGGGTCCAAACTTCTGGTCCTTATTTCGCAGTTCGTTGTATATGATTTTACAGAAAAACATGTGAAAAATAGCGATCAGTAAAACCAAACTAATCCAAAAAAGCCATGGTAACCCGCCAAATGCATGTCCATGTCTATGCAATGTAATTATATCATGTCTGGGGGCTGGACCGGGGGATATTTCAACATAATGTAGAGTTTGACTGTACTTCATGAGCTCTCCGAGTTCAGTTCCAAGATACATTAGTGCTGTAGGTGGTATACTTACAGTGAATGGCACGACGAGTCTAGTAGTCCTGAAAGGCAAAAAATAATAATCCGTCAAAAAGTCGAAATCATTAGAAAAATATATAATCTTCAAAAAGTCCATTGTGGTTAAGGAGTCACATTGTACTTTGTAGACACATAACATGACTTTCGGATAACATGATTTGTTTAAGGATTCCAATCCCTTAACTATTCACTAAGGTGTGGGTGCCTTCACAGGAAATAATGCAAAACTCTAGTAGATAACTCAACAGTACGTGTATTCACCAGCTGCTGGAGGTACTGAATAATCAAGTGGGTGGGTAGGTAATCAGTAATTTTAAGTTTTGGGCAGCAATCATATAAATAAATGTACTGGAAACATTTTAAGAACCACTTCACACTGCCCTTATAGACACAAAAAACAATGAATCAAGAGAATATTAGATGTTTTGATTTCGCAAGGATAATCCGATGAGTGCGAAATATAAAAGTAGTATGAAGTATAATCAAGTGAAGGTTAAAAATGAGCATAACTGCGACTAAGTATGCCACCCAAAGTATTCAACTTCGCAAGAAGACTACTTATCAGATACTGGGAGTATGCACCTCTAACAGACGCTAAGATCAGTAGCGGGGGGGGGTTTCAAGGTTAGCTTTCGCGTCATGGTCTAATCTCAATAGTTTTCTAAACGACTTCAGTGCTAATGTTCATGTAACATCAGTATAGGAAAACGGTGAGCTTGGTAATATCTCCCATCACTTAACCAGTTGTAAATTGGAACTTCATCTACCGACTTACGATCTTGCTAGTATAACTGATTGTTGTCCCAAGGGTCCAATTCATTTCAATCGAACTTGATAGTTGATCAGAAGTGAATAATAACTTGATGGTTGCTTAATACACCCTATTGAAATAACAATCTGCTTCATCGATCGTGAGTATCTACCTTACAGCCGGTCGAAGAAATAGTGTTTATACCAAGGATTTTGTTATCCGTGACTCAGCTCTAGTTATCCAAGTATCACAGAAAGAAATTTCAGCTAAAGACTACTTGTCTTAGCGGGATTTGATAACTAGCTAAGTTCCACCTATCATCTGGTATTATCCAACTTTCATCACGTGATCACAATTTATACCTAACATCTGAAATATAAGAACTTTGGATGGCGTAATAAGAATAAGTTGAGAATTTTTCAGTTATTACTTACCATAGATATGTGTAGTCTACATGCATACTAGGTAACACACGGACTTTCATCCGAGTATTGCTCGGTACACATACAGATTTGCCTACCCTGTGTACACCTGTAATAGGTTTTATTCCGTGCATCCCATAGCATACATATGAGCATATTCACACACCTGGGAGGGTAGATGTTCACCACTCCCTTGGAAAGATATTTGCTACACCAGACGATCTCCTACACATTACATGCTTATTATTAAGCCCATAGCAATCGCCCCAGTACTTACTGATACACATTTTCATTATGTCAAGAGATTGTTCGCCGTCTCTCCCTGTATCTTTTTTTATTATGTCTTTGACCTGACAGACAGGCCGCTAGTTTTATTAGACATAGGGTAGATGGTATTTCAGCAAGCGTTTCCTTCGTACGACACCACACATATACCCTTTGAATATATCTACATATATGAGCTACATAGGCCCAAAGGCTTCTGTAATTCTTATACACAAACATCCAAATCAGGTGGCCCAGTGTGGCTACGTGAACCTTGAGCAGAACCCGAGTCGATCAAAGATACAACAGAGTGGGTGATCAGTTTGGTCTCCATTGTCTGGCAAGGCTCCTCCTGCTACCCAGCAGAGACGCAAGGAGGCCTTAGGTCAGATTGGGCTTCTAGTGTCAGTAACCATTATCTATTCATTGGGATGGAATGTCAAATCACTTGAATATTTGCCTGGCTTAGACCGCCTTATTTAGGCGTTGAAGCTCCCTGCCTCATTACTATGAGTGTTATGCTTTTCTGAGAAGTTTTAGTAACGTTCAGTAAAACTAACCTTTTTACGCTTGAGCTGTAGCCAATTAGAACATGTGCTCAGAACCCAAAAAACAAGGGCACGTATCTTGACCTTTCGAAGCTCTTACAAGCACATCCAACCGGGGATACTGCAAATAAATATCGATTGAGATTTTACTCGGAAGTGTTTGTTTTTCAACTAATGAGGCCTATAGGTTGGTTTAACAAAATGTGAATATCGGGAACTCCAATATGTGGTATGGGGTGAGACCTTGGGAAACCGGAAATCCCACTTTGTTAACTCGAATTGTTATGTGGGGGAATCCAAAATTTAAGTAAATAAGTTGACAAAAGGAGTAGAGTAAAATATAGGAATCGAGGGGAACAATCAGCGATGAAAATAATGAGTTAAATTATCTCTGTAGGTCGATTGAGAGTATTATCTGGATGTTGTTTACTAGGAAGACAGACAAACAGACTCAAAACAATTATAGGATGAAACTATTCCGCTTAACAACTAAACATTAACTGTAGTTTTATACAAGTTAATGGATACATCGACGCAAAACATCTTAATAAACGTAACCCGATTTGTTCCCTATATAAATATTATTCTATTAAGTTTATTGATCTTTTCTTCATTTCTCAGTTGATACTTTATAATGATATCAGGTGATAATCTATTCATCCATCCCTGTTACTTTTTAAATGATATTGAAACAGTTCATTTATCCGTCTCAGTAGGTAGCTATTTTTTTATTTATTCACTTGTCCTTATTTGACCCCTTTAAATTTAAGCGAAATCTTATTTTTGACATTATTTTTTAATAAATTTATCAGATATATAGAAACAAAATAGTTTTGTTGAACAAAACAAAAGAATATTACCGTTACTGAATTAGATAAAAACATAAATAATGGTCTCTTTGTATTTCTAAAAGGTCATTAATTTAAGCAGAATAATCCAATTGAACAGTTCACTTGAGACAGTAACTTACTTATGTTTGATTACAGTTTGCTCCTTATTTTGACCATTAATAATTGAGATGTTACTACTATCTTCCATCAGGAATGCGGTTTTATGAAACAAAACTTGTTATCGCACATGTTTCAAAGATAGTGATATTAAACTGGGTTAAGTAACTCATATATCAGACAAAAATTTATTTTCATAGCTGAAAGTGTGAGTCGATTGAAGCTAAACCACCGTGGAAAACCTGGAAGCACTGAATGGCCGTTTCGTTCTATTGTGGGACTCCTCAGCAATGCGCATGCACGACCTCGCCTCGCGAGAATCGAACCCAGGACCTATCAGTCTCGCGAAAGAGCACTTAACTGTTAGACCACTGAGCCGGCATCCGATGGTGTTTATGTCTAACTCCAACCAATCCACGAAGTTGAGCAACCGTTCACCAATTGTCTTCAGTGAGTTGATATCTCACAACAGACGTGGTTTGAACTCCACTGGTCACTGCTTCTCACTAGAATTCCTGGGTTTACCTCTCGAAATCTCCACAAAACCATTTCTGTTTATAAAAATTTATTTACCCGGTTGTACCATTTTGGTGAAAAAAGAGGACTCATCTCTGATGATGAACCATTGATTGTCTTTTAACATCTATTAATTGGGGCATCGAATAAAAAAATCAGTTCTTAGAAGTAGTTATTACTCAGTAACCAAAATAATATTTAGTCAGTCAATTGTTATACAATATCCAGATTCATACAAGTATATTTCCTTCGTTATACGAGGAGTTCCAGCATGACCTTTAATCTATCCAGTGCACAGTTTATTAGTTAGTTAAAAAGATATTTTGCTCAGTGAACTAATCTCAATAGAAAGAAACATTGTAGTGAAAAAGCTATCCAGAATAGATCAGCTATCTACAGAAGTACAAATAAACGATTATAATTTTAACTTGACGAAGTGCGTATCTAATCCTTATAATGACTAAGTATTGACAGTTTACCTTGTGAGTTCACGAGATAGTTCTGTCGTTAATAATCTCATGATTAACAAGTGAGAAGAGTAGAAATAAGTTATATTCCAATGCCCAAGTCATAATTTACAGATCTTTATGTGATAAATAGCGATATCTATTTCTGAATCTTACATCTTATGTGGTTAGCAACTGATGACAGTGAAACAAAACTTAATTTTCAGTTTATTACAACTCAGAAATATGCCGTGGATTCCTTAGTAAATCGAAACAATAAAACAGAATAGTATTATCAGAAGGGGTTTTGTGAAGATTTAGTATTTTCATAGTTGCAAAAGTGAGTCAATTGAAGCTAGACCACCAAAGAAAACCTGGAAGCACTGGACGGCCGTTTCGTCCTATTGTAGGACTAGCTTGGTGGTCTAGTTTCAATTGACTCACGCTTGCAGCTATGAAAATACAGAATAGTATGCTAATAGACAGCCCCCAAATGCCCTGGTACGGACGAGAGTGTGGAGAGTCCACTCTCCCTCTCGAAATGCTCTCACATGGCCAGTGAAGTCCTACTCACTGCCTTCTCGTGGCGGGGGTGTTGTTTACGAAAGTGAGAGGACGAAAAGCGAATGTCCGGTGCTTTAACCGGGTTGGTGGACACGGAGGGTCCACCTAGGGAAGTTGTAAAACCCTGATTCCAAACAACTGGTGCACATGGGCTCCAGTATCCGTTTGCTGCAACTGTGCACAGACCACAACCTGTTTCTGGCCAGCACTAACTTCCGGCACAGTCATTGCCGGTGTGCCACCTGGCGTCCTCCCTCTGCATCTCAAGCCTGGACTCAGATTGATCACATCGCGATCAGCTACCGCTGGCGTGGTTGTGTACAAGACTGCCGCTCCTTTTGGAGTACCTATCTGGAGTCTGATCATGCCCTGGTCTGCGCCAATCTCACCTTACTTTTCAGTGGCCGAAGGATTAACCACCACCAACGGATCGATGTTAGTAAACTGGCTGCAACATCTGTTGCAAGTAAGTATCGAGCGGAGCTAGCTTCTAGGCTAGCTACCATCCCACCTAAAAGCATAGATGAGCATTGGTTGCATCTTCACGACGCTATGAAAATGGCGAGTAAAGCCGCTTGCGACTTCGCGAAACGTCCCGCTTACAAGCACTGGGTTTCTTCTGGCTCCTTACAACTGATCGAAGCCCATCGGTCTACTCCGGGTGACCGTGAGTATGACCACAAACGAAGGCTGTTACGTAATGAAATTGGACAAAGCTTGCGTAAGGACCGAGAAGCCTGGTGGTCGGAGCGTGCTAATGAGATAGAAGCAGCAGCTGCATCTGGTAACTGCCGGAAGCTCTTCCAACTCATCCGAGCCACTGGCAGCAAGAAGTCTGATGTGAGTGAAACAATCTACGAGGATGACGGGATGCCAATCACTAACATCTCTCGACGTCTTGGAAGATGGGCGGAATTTTTCGAAGGGCAGTTCAACTGGCCTTCTGCTCCGGCAACATCAACCAGCTTGTCCTGCCCCCCATGGTCGGTGACGACTGATCCACCAAACGAGGCGGAAGTCCTCAAGGAACTCGAACTCTTGAAACGTTACAAATCACCTGACCCAGATGACTTACCTCCGGTTCTTTTTATAGATGGTGATGACTTTCTGGCTAAGGAACTGATTGCGTTGTTTGCAAAGGTTTGGGAGGAAGAAAGTGTTCCAACATCATGGAATGAGTCGATAGTCGTCCTTATCTTTAAAAAGGGTTCACGTTGTTCCTGCAGTAACTACCGGGGGATAAGTCTACTTTCGATTGCGTCCAAACTATTGGCTTCTGTCATTCTTCGTATGTTGCTTAAAACCCGAGAACGATTGACTCGCGAGGAGCAGGCTGGTTTTCGTTCTGGTCGAGGATGCGTTGATCACAACTTCACCCTCCGCCAAATGTTAGAACACCGTCATACTTATCGCAGGCCAACAATCGTAGTGTTTCTTGATATCAGGGCGGCCTTCGATTCGTTGGACAGGACTGTTCTCTGGGATTGTCTATTGAAGAAGGGTGTGCCTGAGAAGTTCATTAACATCTTAGAGGCCCTGTATACGAACACCTCAGGCAGAGTGAGGGCATACAACCACCCTTCCCCTTTGTTCCATTCGAGCAGTGGGGTTAGACAGGGTTGCCCGATCTCACCATTCCTCTTCAACTTTGCCATCGACGACATCCTGGAAACAGCTCTGATGGATGTAAGTAATGGCGGTGTGGATATGTTGCCTGGAGAACGACTTCTCGACCTCGAGTATGCGGATGATATTGTCTTACTGTGCGATAATGCCCAAGGCATGCAATCAGCACTTAATCAGTTGGCAATCAGTGTCCGCAGGTACGGCATGTGCTTTGCACCCTCCAAGTGCAAAGTACTCCTACAAGACTGGCAGGATTCTCATCCTGTACTCACCCTGGATGGTGAGGAGATCGAAGTAGTTGAGAAGTTCGTGTATCTAGGTAGCTATATAAGTGCTGGTGGTGGCATGAGTGATGAGAGTCATGCACGTATAATGAAAACCAGAGCGGCTTATGCCAATCTGGGCCATCTTTGGCGCCTTCGTGATGTTAATCTGGCTGTAAAAGGTCGGATCTACAACGCGTCGGTGAGAGCAGTTTTGCTCTATGCTTGTGAAACCTGGCCTCTCTGAGTTGAAGATGTTAGACGTCTCTCTGTGTTCGATCATCGTTGTCTCCGAAGGATTGCTGACATCCAGTGGCAACACCATGTTAGTAGTGCAGAGGTTCCGCATCGTGTGCTCGGGCGCAGAGACGACTTCGGTGGCTTGGACATGTTCTACGAATGTCGTCCCACATTCTTCCAGGTCGTGCATTATTTGCCGACTCTGGGACTGGTTGGAAAAAGCGGAGAGGAGGTCAGTGTATGACATGGTGTCGTGGTATGAAAGAAAGCTGCAAAGGGCTAGCTTTTGTTGGTCCTTCACGACTCCCTGGCTGGGGTCCGAGAGATGGTGCAACACAGTGGCTAGAGACGTTATCAGATATGGCTCAGAATAGAAGCCAGTGGCGAGCCTGCTGTAACCTTCTTTTACTTTCTACATAAAGAGTGGTTCTAACTTTCTTAACTAAAAGAGTCTTCTGATTGTACATTTCAGTCCGCCTTATCTTTTCATCCCTTCTCTTCCTACCTTCATTATTTTGTGTGGCGCATATTTATCTGGTGCCCTTTTGTACCAATATATATGTGTTTAAATAAATAAATAGATGAGGATACAGATATATAATAGCACTGATCTATTCACTACGAAAATTCTTTACACTGAAACAACATATTAATAAAGTAGTTTTTTTTATCCAAGTTACTCTATAATACAGAAATAATTACATAAATCGGTAACGGATTGAAGATACCACCAGTATTGTAGTTTGACAACTCTTTACCAATAACACCTTCTATAATCGAATCGTTCCCACCCAGTTAAAATCAGAAGTCAGAAACGAAGAGGTTGGAAGATATATTTGATGCATTATCAATATTTGGAGAAGCGATTTAATCTAATCTGGCTAATAATCGTAGGAGATATTTCCCACGCTGTTCTGTAACGTGCTCTGGTGCGGATACATGATCGAACGCCTTCAGCTAAACAAGTCCACCTAAACTAATGTGATCAGCATCCAATGTCGAACACTTACAAATCTATTGATTTTAGGGAATTATTTACAGCTATAGGATATATTATTAAGGTATGGTTACTAAGGGAACAAACAAAGGATTATTTACTTAGATAAACAAATTAAAATATCCTTATTATTTATAGAATATTAATTCTACGTTAATGATTTGAATATCACATTCTAATTTCTTTAACTTTCTGGGCTAAAATCTACTTTTATCGATCCTTTGTTGAGGTAGACAAAAAAAATGTAAACATTTAATCAAAGACGACCTTTGGTCACATGATCTTTATCTATAACCTTGATTGTGATTGGCCAATTGGATTTGTAAAAAATGTCCAATAAGAAAAGTGGACAAAAAATAAACCAGCATAAAGAAAAATTCTATTGACAAATTTTAATGTATAGAGGTGAAAAGAACATTAAAAATCAAAGAACGATATATTATATAATAGATGACAGTAATTTTTGACGAGACTATAATTTATCAACGAACCAATTAGATTTACAATAACAGGTTTCGAATTCGGGCGCGAAATTCATTCATCCATCCATCTGGCTAAATACTTTTGGGATTATAGTTCATGTCAGATAGTAATGAAAACCCTAAATCTAATTCATAACCTTAATCATCAATTGTAAATTACAATTCTAATTCCTCACACTAGTTTATAACCATCATTTAGTCCTAGTTAGTAGTAGGTGGACATTCTGAAGGTCACTTTAACGTCACTCAGATGTCGTCTATAAATTATATATCGACTTTATGTGAGAGACGAAATCATATTCAGCAAATTAATGTGATAAACTGATGATGATAATAATGAAGTCAAAATCTAAATGAAAATATGATTTATTTATTTATTTGAACACAAAAATATTGGTATAAAGGGGCAACGAATACATATGCGCCTCACTAATCTCATTTGATTTGTGTGAGGGCTGTGATACAGCCCACGTGCCCAAACTAAAGAAGGTGGTTTTCTTAGAGGGCTACACCCGGAGCGGACTCTTTCCACTCTCGGCCGTACCAGAGCATTTGGGGGCATGAAAATAATTTAGGAGATCGATTGAATAGGTAAAGGATCTATGTTTTATCTTAACTACTTTGAAAGTTCTTTCATCTTGTTTGTAATTCACCTAATAATTTATATCCCAACTATTGAATATTAAGTGGGGGACTGGTAACAAGATGAATAAACCTTTAAGATAATTAGGTTGAAGCATTAACAATTTTAGTGAAAATGGTGTTTACTGTTTGTGTCATATCGTAAAGGGTTCTTTCTTTCGGATTAGAAATCGATAACAGTTATGAATATCCATCTACTCCTCGACTACAAACAGCTATTTATTGCATAACTACTCATTTCTCAAGGAGTTTTTTCTCCGGATAGTTCTAAAAATCACACTAGTTATATATATATATATATGCCCTGGTATGGCCGAGAGTGGGGAGAATCTGCTCTCCCTCTCCAAATGCTCCCACATGACCACGCGTATATAGCCTCTGCCAGAGAAGTCCTACTCACTGCCTTCTCATGGTAGGGGTGTTGTTTACAAAATTGAGAGGACAGAAAATGAATGTCCGGCGCTTTAACCGGGTTGGTGCATATGGAGGATCCAGCTAAGGGGAGTTGATAAACCCTGATTACAAACCAATGGTGTACATAGTCTCCACGGTCCTCAAGGAACTATTGGGATATGAACCAATCGTTAGTCACCGGCTACCATGGGACTGTATGTCCTCACGATGTTCCACTGCCTTGTGGATCAGACCTTAAAATCAAAGGCTCCGGGTGTGGTCCCCTAAGAAAACCACCTGAGCAATATCACAGCTTTCACACAAATCGAATGAGATTTTTGCGGCGCATATGTATTCGGTGCGTCTTTGTACCAACATTTATGTGTTTAAATAAATAAATAAATACTACAAAAAAAAATCCTCAAAACAAGACATCCTAAAGTAAAAATATTTAAGACGCTTACTTGACTAGAACTGGTGTTGAATAACAAGCAGCTGGACAAACATAAAGTGAAATATTTAAAGCATCATTCTCCAACTTATTAAAGAAACTTTTAGCTTCAAGAATATTATTATTATTTCCATATATATTATTAAACAATGATGAAGATAATAATGTTGTAAGACTTGGAGAACGCCATACAGATAATTCAACTGCCATTAAATGTGGTGAACTAATACTACCTTCACGAGATAATAAACGTATTTCAAAATTTGCATAAACACCTGGTTTATTCAAATGAATTCGACGGAATAAAATATCACGATATAATGAATCTGGTGGATAATCAAATGATATATGATCATGGCTTACATAGAATGAACCGATACTACGCAGTACAGCCTAGAAGAATAAATAAATAAGACCTAGAAGTGAGAATAAATCAATTTTATATGAACAATGAACATTTTTTAAAAATCAAAATGAGTAGAATATAAAAATTTTCCATTACTATGTCAACAACCAAATTGAGTTGGGTTAAGAGAAGGATGTGAAATCAAAACAGTCATCAAGAGATTATAAGCAAAGGTGGATAGTGGCTAGCAGTGGAATCCAAGATGCATGTTTCGTCTTATTTAGGACTCGTCCACTGGATGTACCTGTATCTCAGAGTTGATGTTCATTCTGGGACTCGAACCCAATGGATGACGTGATGGCATTTGAAGCGAAAGGCACTGGGTTCGAGTCCCACGTGGAACATCAACTTTGAGATGCAGCTACATCCAGCTGACGAGTCACAAATAGGACGAAACACGCGTCCTGGATTCCACTGCTAGCCACTATCCACCTTCGCTTCGAATGCTTGTGAATTAAGGCAATATCGAGGCAATACGCACAGTATGCACATATGGCCAATTAGAGACTGACCAGTTGCAGTCCTAAACATCAATGGGAAGATTCAAACAAACAATACTAAGTGAATTCAGTCATCAAGATACATTAACAAAAGTGAGTACATAATCGAGAATGATATTCTGCTACTGAGAGGTGCTAAATCAGTAGTACTAGTAGTAGTAGTAGTCACGTTTATTTATAGGAAAGATATAGTTAAACTATAATGACTGTCATTGAGATCCTTTCATATCAGAAAGGATTTATTGAAGTAACGAAAATAAAAGAGTAATAACTAGCCCAATATATATATATATATATAATAAACGCTGAAACCACAAATTAAAGGTGAATTTATAATATTCCCTGGATGATGGAAAGATACTTTATCTCAACAATAAGCATAGTCAGTTAATCTCAATTCCGATTTCAAACTGTCATATGACAAATGTTTGAATGATGGCTATCTATTCTGTGATGTATTAGGCAGATAAGGCTTTTAGACAAAGAGAGATGCTACTATAACAATATCTGATCAATGTACAGAAATATGGTCAAAGATTATTGTGAACATTTGATAGTTGTAAGCATACTACAGTTTTGAGGTCCGCTGAACAGAGAAAATCTAGTTGATACATATTCGAATCGGCTTCAAACTATTTAAATCTATATGATAAGGAATTTTGTGGAGATTTTAGTAATTTTATATAGGTTAGATAATGAGTCAATTAAAGCTAGATCACCATGGAAAACCTGGAAGCACTGGACGTTCGTTTCATCCTATCGTGTGAACCCTCAACAGTGCGCATCCACGATCCCGCCTCGAAGGATTAGAATCCAGGAACTACCAGTCTCGCCCCAGAGCACTTAACCGATAGACCACTGAGCCGGCATCGTGGATTGGTTGAGGTTAGACATTAACACCGTCGGATGCTGACCATCTCAGGGTTCTAATCCCTCAAGGCGGGATCGTGGATGCACACTGCCACTGAGGAGTCCCATAATAGAACGGATCTGCCATCCAGTGCTTCCAGGTTTTCCATGGTAGTCTAGCTTCAATTGACTCATGATTTTACCTACATATATATATATATATATATATATATATATATATATATATATATATATATATATATATATACGAATTATGCTTACACACTTAACTGTGATATAACTAGCTGGTGATAAAACATAGATATTGCAAAACTTTGATGATTGTAAGTACATGGTAATAATCTTTTTTTGTTTATTGATATCAAGCTTAAAGAGACATAAGGATAAGCCCAGTTACACCCTTTTTCCATTTAGAGTGGGTTAATTGCTCATAGCAATAGGACCAGACCTATCATTTCAACTTTATATAAAATAGTCTGGAATGAAAAATTTCAAAAATGAATGGTAATTCTACATACTTGATGAACACCGTAAACACCAGATTGAAGTAATTTCTCACACCCACCATCAATTAATGTATGACGCCATGAACGTATTAAATTATGCATAGATGAAAGTGATGTGACTGGTTGCCATAATGAATTTGACTGTCTGTTTAGATAAAGTTTGAAGAAAACGATATATTAAAACAAATACTTACGGTATACACAAAGAATTTTAAGCATAAACACTGTTGAACATAACAAAATACTACTGAAATCCTATTTGCAAGTAATATTGTGAGCATTATTGCTAGGGGTTTTTCCGCTCCAAAAATAAGGAAATTGACATTTTCATAGTTGAAAGTGTGAATCAATTGAAGCTGGACCACCAAGGAAAACCTGGAAGCACTGGACGGCCGTTTCGTCCTATTGTGGGTCTCCTCCTCAGCAGTGCGCATCCACGACCTCGCCGGAAAGAAAATAGAGTCTCACCAATAAGGTATTAAATCAAGTGGTTCAGTCAGTCAGCTACAACGTAGGACCTGGCACACATATGCATCGGTCCAAGTTGCTATACCTCGTTAACACAACAAGATGAGCACCGGATTCATAGAAATAGTTAATTTAGTGGTGGTAGTATATAAAAGAAAGGTTGTATATAAGTATATAGTATAGGAAGGAAGAACGTCGTGAAGCAATTTTAATCTTAAGGTTTAAGGGAAGATAAAGAGTGTATACACCTGCGCCATTGTGATCGATTATGAGCCATGTCACCTAGAGTCTCCAAACATTGGTTACGATAGTCACATGGACCTCAATCAAGTAGTCTGCATTCACTAAAATGGCTCAGACTAGAAGTTAGTGACTTCAAGCACTGATACCATGTTTTGGTTTGGCCGCCCCTTACTTTCTTCCAACCATCCCATACACTAGTCAGCATAACGCGTTGTGGTAATCGGTGTTCAGGCATACGTAACACGTGGCCTAACCATCTCAGTCGATGAAGATTCATGACCTTATCAACTGATTTACCATCATTTCCTAATACCCTGCGTCGAACCTCACTATTACTTACCCGGTGATCCCAGTGGCTACGAAAACATCAAATTATAAATGAAATAAAACGACTGTATCCAGGATTCCTGGATTTCACTGCTAGCCACTATCCATCTTTGCTTATAATACTTGTGAATTAAGGTTATATCGAAGCAATATGCACAGTATGCACATACACCAATAAGAAACTGATAAATTGTAGTCCTAAACATCAATGGGAAGAATCAAACAAACAATACTAAGTGAATTTAAGCGTTATGTACTGTCGACTACTTTGTTCTTACACAAGCACAAAAATACGCACACACACACACACGTATATATGTTGATAGACTGAAACAGCTGGAAAATAAATACAACATAATGCGTGAATAGATGACATTTGTACAACTAATTATCTAACTGTTTACTTGTAAATGGATATTACAAGGTATTTTAGTTAACCGAAAGATCAAAGATTTCAGGCTCAAAATATAATGAAGATTACCTATGATAGTAAGTAGTTATTATCACAGGTAACACTGCTTTGTGCTTTTATGGACAAAGGTGTACAACGAGGGAGGGGGGAGTGTTAGTACACTGTCATTGAACATGTTCACAACTTCAGGTTATTTACGATTTCCCATTTTAACTTTGAATAAGTTAAATAATTAATCTGAGTTAGTTGTTTAACAACGCCATGATTTCTCTATAATTTAACTACCTTCAAAATCATATATTAAATGACCTGTTACACTGGATATTTCTAATTATCCAACCATCCACTATCTACGTCGAATTCGGGACAAATCTGTATTGGTTCACGGTGGAGCAATATATATTAGCATAACGAGAGGCAATGAAAATTAACACGATGAACAGCAGAGAATGTGAGATATTGATCCCTACGTCAGTGGGAAGCTAAATATACTCGATATAGTTCAAAAGGAACGAATGAGATTGAGTCATAAAGTGTGGACTCAAGATTTATGGGAAGATAGGAGTGAATTGATATGTACTATTACCACTATCGAACCCTGGCCATGTTACCCAAGATATACAGTCATAGATTATGACCATTAAGCGCGGTTCGAATAGTAAGCCTGAATCTACCGGCAGGAGACAACACCCCCGCCACGAGAAGGCAGTGAGTAGAAATTCCCTGGCAGAGGCTATATATTCGGGTGGCCATGTGAGAGCATTTCGAGGGGGAGAGCGGACTCTCCCCACTCTCGGCCGTACCAGGGCATCCGGGGGCTAACAGTTATATAATATACCCTTGTGGGCCAAGGTAATTTTGCACTGGTTTTCAGGAGAACCAGACACCAACCTGACTTTCATGTGACAACCCAAACAGTACAGCTTAATCCCGTTCAATAGGAGAGCCAGACACTTCTTAGGCTTAACCCGAGCAGTACAGCTCAATCCTGCACCATAGGAGAACCAGACACTATATGAGCTTCAATGCTACAATCCAAACAGTACAGCTCAATCCTGTGGCGCAAACACACAGGTACCAATCACCCTGGTGGACCAGATTAGTTTGTAATCCGTGTTTTCCAACTCTGCTTAGCTGGATCCTCCATGTCCACTAACCCGATTAAAGCAGTCAGTCAGTCAGTCACAACGTAGAAATTCGTACGTACGTACGTACATCAGTTCGAGTTGCCATACCACATTAGCACAGAGATGCAGTTGTCGATTCAATTCCCATAGTGGTAGAAGTAGTAGGAGTATAATCAGAAATCCAAAAGATTAGGGTTTGAAGAAATTATTGAAGGAGTATAGTACAGTGAAATAAATTTGGAAAGAGAAAAAGATAAATACATGAGGAATTCAGAAGATTAGAATTTGGTAGAACACAAAGAGTGGATGCATCTTCGCCATTACAAACGATTTTGAGCCATGTCATTCAAGGTCTCTAACCATCGGTTGCTGTCATCTCGCGAATCCCAACCAGGTAGTCTACACCTACCAACATGGCCCAGTCCACTTGTCAGTGACTTCATTGATTTGTGCCACGTTCTGGTCTGGCCACCCCTAGCTTTCTTCCAACCTACTCCTACACCATGAAACATTGCACGTCGAGGCAGTCGGTGGTTGGGCATACGTAACATATGTCCCAGCCATCTCAACTGATGAAGTTTCACTACTTCATCAATCGATTTGCCATCCCTACCTAGCACTCGTTTCCTAACAACTGCATTACTTACCCGGTGGTCCCAGGATATACGAGCAATGCTTCGAAGACACCTATGATCGAATACTAGTAGTCTACGAATATCCTCTACTCTTATTGGCCATGTTTCACTGCCATAAAGTAGGACGGAGCGAACTGCTGCATAGTAAACCCGTCCTTTGGCTGCTAGACGGATATCTCGCCTACTCCATAAATGACGCAAGTTGGCGAAAGCTAGACGAGCCTTCTGTATCCGTGCTGAGATTTTGTCACATACCAGACCACAAGGGCTGATGAGACTCCCAAGATAAGTGAAGTGGTCTACACGCTCAACTACTTCACTCCCTATCATTAGTTCAGGTGTCGCTGCAACCCAATCCTGAAGTAACATTTTGCACTTCGAGGGAGAGAATCGCATCCCGAACATGCCTGCATAGTTGCTTATAGTGGTCAGGAGACTCTGCATGTTGTCAGCGTCTTCACCGAGTAAAACTATGTCGTCGGCGTATTCTAAGTCAACAAGTGAGCCTCCTGGTAAAAGTTCAACTCCTGGAGGTTTAGCTGATGAAAGTGCTATCTCTAAAAGTATGTCAATGACAAAGTTAAACAAGAATGGGGAGAGTGGACAGCCCTGACGAACGCCACTTGTGGTAATCAGTTCTGATGACAGTTCGCCATAGGCTCTAACTCGACCAGTTGTGTTCGAGTAGAGAGCCTTTATGAGGTTAATGTACTTCTTTGGTACTCCTTTCAGTGACAAACATTGCCATAGAACCTCACGATCAACGGAGTCAAATGCCGCCTTAAGGTCAAGAAATACTACTATTGTGGGACGTCTGAATTTGTGTCTATGTTCTAGAACCTGACGTAGGGTAAATATCTGGTCTATGCAACCACGTCCAGGTCGAAAACCAGCTTGGTTTTCTCTAGTCTGCTCTTCACGAGCTTTGGTTAGGCGACCTAGTATTATTGAAGCTAATATTTTAGACACTATATTAGTCAAACTGATCCCTCTGTGATTGTCACAAGAGGACTTTTGTCCTTTCTTATAGACTGGTACAATCAGTGATTGGGACCAGTCAGATGGAATTACGTCCAGTTCCCAGATTCTACCTAAGACCTCAGTCAATCTCACTGCTAGTACTGGACCACCATCCTTAAAAATCTCAGGAGTCAACCTGTCAGGGCCTGATGCTCTCCCTCGCTTCAGATTTCCTATAGCTTTTTCAACCTCACAGAGGGTTGGAGGACTTACATCAATTTGCCATTCAGGACGACTGGGGATCGTGGGTAATTGAAGTGTGGCTGAAGGCCAGTTGAACTGATCCCTAAAGTGTTCTGCCCATCGATCCAATCTCCTGGATTGAGAATGAATAATATGCCCATCTTTATCTGAGATGGTTTCACTGATATTCGGGTTCCTAATACCGGTTTCTTTAACGAGTCTGAATAGCTGCCTACTGTTACCTATTGCCGCTGCCTTTTCCATCTCTCTTGCTTTCGCTACCCACCACTGTTCACGATCATTATGTAGACTTCTTATAAGCCTGCGCTTAAGTTGACTCCGCTCTTCGTTATGCTCAGAGCCAGGTGGGATGAGTTTACGAGCATCTATCAGTGCGGTAGATGCTGCCGAGATCCATTGTTTCTCCCTAACGTTATGGTTTACCTTACTAGCGGATATCACTGCTGTTTCCACAGCTTTTCGGATGTCATTCCACGCTGCCTCGGGGTGGACACAACTTACATGGCTGCCTAACTGTTTTCCTAGTTGTTCCTGAAATATATTCTTAGCTTGCCTATCATTAAGTAGAACCCTTAGAGGCTTCCCTGCAGTGTCTTTCCTACGACCAGTAAAACGCAGACAGATACGTGCTCGCACTAGAGCATGATCTGAATCTAAACATGTGCCCCAGAATGAGCGACAGTCTTCTATCGAGCCCCTCCATCGGTGG